CTTCTTTTCCGGGTTACCTGTAGTTCTCGCATTTCTTTTACGTCAAATTTGGGGATTTCTTCCTCGAATTTCTTCCAGTATTTCTCGAATGCTTTTTCGTTTCCATCTTTTATCGCGTTGTAGTACACTTCCAGTGATTCATAGACAGGTGTACCAAGTCCTGCCGGGAAGATGATCGTTCTCCCTTCACCTTTATACATGTGGTTCACACGGAAGTCCCAAAAAAGGTCAACTCTCGCTTCTTCCCACATTTCTCCTTCTTCGGTCATCTCTTCTATCTCTCGTTCGAATCTCCTTTCTGTTGCTACCGGATCGAGAGGATCTTGGATTCCTTTCTCCACACGTTGCAACCAATGGTTTAGCCATCTGCCTCTTCCGATTATAAAACTTTCCACGCATGACAACCACGTTCGATATCTATTCCAATGATACCGTTCGATGTGTGGTTTCCACATTTCGTTTGTCCGCATGATGCTTTTCACTTCCTTCTGGGCATGACCTTTAAGGTCTGTTAATGCGGCATTACATCTTGGCCATTCTGAAAGGTCATCTTGGGAGGCATTTTCGCAACATTCCGTGCATTCCCATTGTGGTTGCACTCTGCACGGATCCTCAAAGTAACCGTGGTGACAACTCCCGGCTCGTTCTTCTGGAGTTAATGTCCTTTGACTCGCTTGAGGTTTCAGCTGTCCGTGTACTGTGGTATCTTCCTCACATTCGATTGGAGTCACGCTTTTATCCTCAGAGGATATTACGATGACCTCTGATTCTTTGTTTTTTCGGTGACCTTTCAACTGTTCGAGTGCCTTGTCGCGGATTTCTCTTGTAAACATCTGTTCCTCTTCAGTTATTCGTTTCAAAACTCGTAACCTTTCGCTCCTTTTATCCTTCCCCACTTTAGCCGTCTTTATTTCCAGTGCCTCTGGTACTGGGATAGCTTTTTCAACACCTTTTTCTGTGTCTCCTTGCTTACATTCATCTGCGATCATACTTCTCCCGTCCGGGAGAAATATGATCGCCTCATCCGTGTCTGGCGCGAGTGGTTCCTTTTTCCTTTCGTTGGCTTTTTTGACATTTAAGCTTTCGCTAATCTTCTCTGGTGCCTCTGGTACCGGGATTATCCGTTGGCTAATCTCGTTCTGCTGCACTCTCGTCATTCCCGGTGCCTCCGGTACTGGGATGACCTTTTCTCTTCCCTTTTGTGTCAGCATTGTCCGGTTTAACGTGTTTTCGATCTCCTGCTGAATCGTCTGCAACTGCTCAAATGGTGACAATTCTTTTCGCGTCACCTTTTTCTTTCCGTTTCCCGGTGCCTCTGGTACTGGGATTAGCGTTTTGTTAACTGTTTGAGCATTTCCCGCCTGTTTTACGAGTTCGGTGACCTTTCCGACTTGAACTCTGGCGACTGGTTTTGGGTCATCTTCTTTCTCTTCTTCACCTTCGTTATCCATTAATACAAATTTCTTTTCCAAGAAGTCAAATCCCAGTAAGACTTGTACGTCGTCACACTTCGGTCGGACGTAGAAAGAATGTTCACTTGTCTTCTTTCGTAGGGTCACTGGTGCTACACAGTAATGCGTCACCAGGAATCCTGACGTTCCGCTAATTCCGTTTATTTTCACCAGTCTATCTGGTGGCAATGGGAGCATATGAAGTCCATTCTTCTCGCAAAACGGTTTGCTGATCAGCGACGTCTCAGCGCCGGTGTCCAGCATTGCGTTGACCTCTATATCTCCCACTTTCACTTCATGTGTGTATGCTTCAATTCTCTTGGGCAATTTTCCGTTTTGAATCTTCAAGGTGTGAATCTTACATTTCACAGGGATAAGCGATACTGGTCCCGGATCCATATCGGGAAGCACTTGTCCTTTTGCTGGAGTGCTGTGACCTTTCAGTATCTCGCTCAGCTTATCAATCCTATGTGGAACGTTAGTCCGAACATCGTAATATTTTCGCGGCTTTTCTTTATTTGTTCGCTTCCCTGTAGCCATTTTATCACCGGTGACCTTTTCCACGTTCTGCACTTGCTCATTTGCTTTTGTGCTATCCATGTGACCTTTAGTCACTTCATTTATCGTTTGATGGATCAGTTCCTCTTTGCGATTTTCATTTCGTTTATCTCTCAACTTCTCAATGACTTCACTTGTTATTTGGTCCGCTCGCTTCAGTTCGTCTTCTTCGCTATCTTTCTTCTCATCTGGTGACCTTTCATATGTAACCATGTCATATCCCTTTTCGGTCATCCATTGCATCACTTTTGCAGATACTTCATTGTTCGTTTTCGTTGGGTCAATTTGCGAAGACATCCCGTCTGTTCGGGCTGGTGACTTGTCATTGGCATCCTTTGCAGTGCTTGTGATAAGTCCCGTGACCTTTCAACTGCGCTACTCTGTTGCGTTTGCGCTATCTCATTTGACCGTCCTTTTTGTTCATTTTGCGCAAAGTCCTGTGACCTTTCGTTGCGCTTCATGACAAATCCGCCACCTGTCAGCTTTTGTATGGGGACTTTTTCTCCATAATTCGGCGGTTTATCCTGTGGTGGAGCATTGCGTGAATGATTCCAGTCAGCGAATGTCTTCTTATATTCCTCTGGATTGAATACTGGGATTGGGTTCGGTGACCCTTGCGCTGGTTTCCCGGTAACCAACTCTTCTAGTCGCTTTCTTTCACATTGCGTTCGCAACTGTTGCATGTCCCAGTAGTCGTCTTGTGACATTTTCGCTTTCTGCTTTGCCTTCGGCGTTACGGGTATCCACATCCCGTGATTGCCATTCGGTCTGTAGGCCACTTTTTGCCACTTTTCCTTCTGTTGCAGCGTTATTGCATCTACAAGTGAGTCATCGGAGTTCTGTTGTGCCAATTCGCCATTCTTTTGCTGCGCTGTTCGCAGTGTCAAGTCTGTTTCTTGACCTTTTAACACGACGCTGTCGCCGTGACCTTTCGCATTCGCACTCGCTCCTTGACCTTTAACGTGGGCTTTTCCAACAGAAGGTGACCTTTCATCTTTACTAATGGCGGTGATGTTTTGCTTAATCCATTCTTGCCTTATTCGCTTCACTTCTTCGGATTCTGAACAATTCCAAAACTTTGGCTTTGGCTCCCCGTAACAATCGCAACTTGGCTCATTCGCTTTATCATTTCCTGCCAAGTATTTCCGGAATTTCGCGTGTTGCTCATTTCCCTCTTGCGCAGTATCGTTCTGCGGTGGTGAATTTTGGTCTTTCGATTTGCCATTTATCTGTTTCCGGAACCATTCGTGGTGCATTTCCACTTCTTCTGCGGTATCAGTTTGTGGTTTCTTCTGGTTTAACAGCGCTTGTTGAATCTTGGCATTACGTAATGCACGACGTTCAGCTAGCACTTTCTCGCTGCAATACGGTGACCTTTCATTTTGCTGCACTTTTTGCAGTGTCGCGCTACCGTCACGACAATTTCCACTCGCAGTACCATTCTGCGGTGACCTTTGGTCCCGTTGCGCGCTTCCACTCGCAGTACCATTCTGCGGTGACCTTTGATTCTGTGACGGTATCCCTATAACCGTTCCATTTCCTTTTTGTGATGACGGCATCCATATAGCCGTTTCTCTTTGCTGTGGCGGCATCCATCTAGCCGTTTCTTGTGGTTGCGGCATCCATATAGCCGGTCCATTTTGCTTTTTCGCTAACGGCATCCATATAGCCGTTGCAGTGGTCACATTCACTGCAGTACCATTCTGCAGTGGTGACCTTTCCCTTTTATCCGGTGGTTTAGGGTCGGGTCGATCAGTAGGCTCACCGGTGCCTACTGATCTTGCCCGTTTCCCTGAACCGGCGCCCCGCCTTGTTGCGCGCCTTGCACATTTCCTTGTTGTTGTTCATTCACCGGGCCGCCTCCGTTTGGCTGGCCACCACCCTGTTGGTAGTTTCCGCCTCCATTTCCACCGCCTCTGTAATTTCCGCGGCCATAGCCTCTGTTCCTTCCTCTGAAGCCGCCGCGGCCGAAGCCACCGCCGCGATAGCCGCCGCCTTGGCCGCCCCCATTTCCATTTCCATAGTTCCCGTTACCTTGCTGATTCTGAAAGTTCGCTTTCGCCTGGTACCATTGCGTGATCAGGTCATATCCATTTGCGACTGCTTGGCGCCAACCACCGAGCCCGCGCAGTCGTTGCCACTCGTTGAAGGCAAACAGGTTTGGGTTCTGTTCCGGTGGTGTATTGGCGAATTTGCATCCCTGGGTCTGGTGGTTGCCATACATACAGTACTGGCACATCTGCACATTGTTCGCCACCCATCCGTCAATCATCTGGAACTTAAACTCAGTTCGTGACCCTTGGTTTTGCTGTTGATTCCCTCTGGAGTTCCCTTGACCTTGACCATGTCCCTGATTCTGGAAGTTCCCCTGACCTCCATTCCAATTTCCATTTCCGTATCCATTTCCGCCAAAGTTTCCGTTACCCCCACCTTGTTGTGGTAACCCGACATTCATAGGGACCATATTCTGTGGTGCAGGTGGGGCCACATTCTGAGGAGCCACATTCTGGGCTACCGGTCTCACTTGAGCTGCTGCCTGTATCGCCGCCACCATTGCATATGTTATCGGTTGTCCCGTCTGACTGTCGATAAAGGTCACCTTTTCGGTGACCTCTCTGACCGGAGTCTCCACACGGTACTCAACCGGCTGCTGGACTGGCGCAGCTGCCATTCTCTGTTGCGGCACATTTTCGACTTGCCCTTGGCGAATGGTCACGTATTCCTGATTACGTTGACCTTTAGGCGCCTTATATTTCTCTTCGCCGGTGGCCCAATGTCGGAAGAAGTCCTTCACGTCCGTTGGCGTCTTGCACTTTTGTATCCGCAATGCCTTGTAGAGTTCATTGTCTCCTCTACATCCTTCAATTAAGAATCCGACTGCTTGTTTCTCCGTGATGATTCTTTTTGCTTTAAATCGCATCATCGCCTGATAATACTGGTCCAGCGATTCTTTTCCGAGTTCAAATTTCCTTGCATAGGCCTCACGTAAGCCTAAGACTTCTTCATCTCGATCACCATATTCGTCTTTGAATTTGTCCATCCACTCTGTTATTGAGTATTCAATTCCATCTTCGGCTGCGATGTCCTTTTCCCCTTCAAACCATGTTTTTGCAGGACCTTTCACCGCACTTGCTATCTCAATCATGATCTGATCGTCCGTGAGCTGGTAAGTCCTTTGTGTTTCTTTCACTAATCGTGTCCACCCACTCACTGTGTCACGACTGCCGTCAAAGGTCATGAGTGGTGTTTTCCTGGCCATCGAGTTAAGTGCTTTTGTCAATTGCACCGCTGTATTTTCTGCTCTCTGGTCGTCGTCTTCTTCGCTACTTCCATCATCACTTTGATTTCGTTTCGCCTTTCCATACCGGGATTTCCTAGGACGCTCCTGCCGGCTGGGTGGTCTGTCCCGTCGCCCTTCATCGATGAACACATTTGTTTCCATGTGCGGGGGAAATTGTGAAGGGTCACCTCGACTCATATGCGGGTAACTTTCCGATGGTGGTTCTTTGTCATCTTTAGCCTTTTCCCCGTCCTTCTCGTTTTTGACACTTCCTCTGCCAGTACCAGTTCGTAGCGGCATATCGAAGTGAAAGCTTTTACCCGTGCCCGTTTCATGCGCCTTGCTATAACTGGGCGGGGGCGATTCCACCGTTGCTGTTCTGACTCCGTGTTGTAGGAGCTGTTCATCTTTGTGTTTGTTGGACATTTGAAGAGCTTTATTCTCATCTTCAAGGCGCTTAATCCTTAAATCGGATTGGTCTTTCTCATTCTTCAGGTTCTGATTCTCTTGGTTGACCTTCGACATCTGCTGATGCAGTTGAAGCGTTTTGTCTTTAATGACCTTTTCAGTATCATTTTCCACTTTCCTGATGTGTTCCGCCAACTGGGTCACATCCCTTTCCAACGTCATGTATTCTTCGGCTGCTGCTTTCAGCTGATTTTTCGTCACGGTGACCTCATCTTCTCTTGTCATCGCCGTTTGTGTCATATCAATCAGCTCCGTATTCAGTCTGATAATCTCCTGTGTCTTCTGATGGACCGTTTGTTGCCACTCTTTATCCTTCAACTCGAGCACTGTGACCTTTTCGTCCAAGAGGTGTGCCTCGTGCTCCCACCTCGCGCCTTGTTCTGCCATTGTCTTGGCGGCTTCTTTTAACACTTTGATCTCATCGGTGACCTTTTTGTTGTCATCCTTCAACGCCTTGTTCTCTTCCATCACCTGTCTTATTTCATTTTTCAACCGTACACCTTCGGTGGCTGTAAGATCTCGCAAGTCCTTTGCCACCTTAGCGGCTTCATCAGCCCTTCGCTGGTGATCGTATGACTCCTTCTGGAGGGTCCCGATATTCTCGTCGCGCAGCTTCAGGTCATTCCTGAGCTTGAAGACTTCAGTGGTGTTCGTCAACAACCTCTGAGTAGCATCGGCGAGTTTGGTTGCGTATTCATCTCGTTTCGTTTCCGCTTCGGTGACCTTTAGTTTCAGCGAGTCACATTCGTCCTTCAATTCGGCTAAGTGCCGTGACCTTTCCGCTGTTTCTTCTGACATACTCTCGTTAAGTTCACTGACCGCAAGATGACCTTCCATTTCTCTGTCATCAACCATTTTCAAGTACTCTTCAGCCAGTTCCCTTTGCTTTTCGTACTTCACTTTCCATTCCTCTGCTGTGCTCTCCAAGTAACCCCGTTGTTGTTCCAACTCAAACAACCGGGTTTCAAGCGATGTCAACCTCTCTTGATATTCCTGTTTTCGTCTCGCCGTCTGGTCTTCCTTGTTATGGAGTTCATCTTCCAAATCCTTCACGCGCCTCTTCAGAGTTGACGTGGGGCTATTCGGCGACGGTGGTCTTACATTGATGACCTTTCCCGTCTGTGTCCGTTCGATGAGATGTTCCGGTATATCCTTGAAAGGTGTCATTCCTTCAGCACGGTCAGCAAGTCTCATCGCCGATTGGAAGGACATATTCATCGTCGCTTCGTCATCGGTGAAGTACGATTCATTAGATTCATCTGAGACCATTGGAGTTGCCCAAAGGTCATCTTCTGCCGCCTTGTCATTCAGTGAAAGGTCACTCAATCCCAATTCAACCAATTCTTCTTCCGTGGCCTTTGTCTTGTTCATTTCCACTTGAGCCAGGTTCACATTTGTATCCTGCTCATTCATTCCGCCAGTGGTGGCATCCGACTGTGATGTACCAACTGGTTCCGCTCCCCTTTCTGTGGGTTTTTCCTCCCCGGTGACCTTTATCTGGTTCATCGGATCGCTTCCCGCCGTAGACGCGGGAGTGTGCTTCTGGTCGTCGCTTGAACTTTCCTGATTGGCGACCGCCTCGAGCGCCTTCTGATAAGTGCTATCAGAGCCTCGTGAATCCTTCTTCTCGAATGCCTTGGGCGCTCGAGTGTTCCGCTCATGTCCAACTGGACGTGAGTACGGGTACAGATCCTTTTTGTATGGATTTGGTGCGCTTTGCTGTGAGCTGCGGGAGCTTTTGCTTCCCTGACTGCTGTTAGATGTCGGTTCCTCTTGTTCTCTGTCCATGTTGATCGGATAACTTGGACGCTCCTGTCAATTGTTCTCACACACACGTTATTGTATGGTTTATTCAATTTTCCTAAAGGTCACTTTGTACCTCCGAAATTTTTCTAAGTCCTTATTAAAGGTCACTTTTCGACTGAAAAATTTCGACCAAGTCCCGTTTAAAGGTCACTTTTTCGGTAAAAAGTTCGAGAGGTTTGCCCTAAAAGGTCACTTTCGGACAAAACTTCGAGACCGTTTTTACAGTTTGAAACACGTTAGCAAATGAAATCCTACAGCTGCTGATATCGCTGTATCACTATTCACTTCAATTTCACTTTGATAAAGGTCACTTTTCGTCAGTTTCAGATCACAAAGGTCACTTAAATAAGTCAATTAGGACAATTCCAACTTTTTAGTAAAGGTCACTTTTCAGGTCAAAAGTCCTGTTCTGGTCTCAAAGGTCACTTTCCGACTCAGTTCAACTCAAAAGGTTGCTTTCTGACTCAATTTCTGTTAAAAGGTCGCTTTCCCGCTCAATTCAAGTTAAAGGTCACTTTTAAGCTCAATTCGATCAAAGGTCACTTTTCCTTTGTCTCAACTCAAAAGGTCACTTTTCGTCTCAATTATCTTATCTCAAATCAATTTTCCCATTACAGCTAGAGTTCAACGGAAAATCCCCATTCGGGTTGTTTACTTCTTTCTGATTGGTCCGCTAGCTCAAAATATTCAGTTCAAATTTCGGCCAATCACAGCTCAGATAATTAACCAATCACGTTATTCCGTTAAAAATTTTTATCTGCCTGACGTCACGGTCGACGGCCAGACATGCGCGCCGCGTGCAAAACTCCGCCTACTTCTACGCTCAGCTCAGTACGGACCAATGAAAAATGAGAATTTTACCATCTAACCAATCCCGTAATTAATAACGGGTTTTCTATCTGTTTCCTCGTCCGTTCCACGAGAATCGATCCAAATGATCCAGATTCTTCTTCCACTGTCCGTTCCCGCGCTGCCGCCGGTTTTACCGTAACGGTTGTGCCGCACGCTTTTTGGTCGGTTACTGTGCCGGCTGACTGCCGTAGCAACAGTAGTTACGCTCTACTCCAGTTTGGAGGAGTCTGATCTGTCTTTTCCGTGCGCCCCTTTCGGCGTTTCGGCGCTTCTGCCCCACGGCTTAGGATTCGCTGAATCCTTGCCGAGTACCAGTGACACCAGTGTAGGTCTTCGCTGAAGACTCTACACCGAGGAACACTGGCGACTGAACTCTTGCACTCTTGCACAGTCCCTGCAACAGTACAGGTCTTCGCTGAAGACGCTGCACCGAAAACAAGGCTGGAAATCCACGTCAGATGAGGAACTTGCACCGCTTGTGGTGTTGCGCTTTGCTGTGGTTCAGACCTGTGCCTTACTGGTCGGGTTTCACATCAGATACCAGGTCAACTTTGCCTGACACAAATCAAATCAAATTCAGAGAACCGCTGTCGGCTCTGCTACCATCTAATGCTAGATCCAACTGTGATCCAGATACGGAGACCTAAACGGAATAGATCCCGTGGAAGCGAGCGATACGATATGGATCGCGAGCTATGCGGAAACACAAACGTCGCACCGTAAATCGCTGACTTTTTAATATTGAAAAGCCTGGAGAACAGAAAAATCAATAATGATCGGCGCAGCTCGATCGTAAAGCGTGGAGCCCATTCAACAGTGTGTAACACTGTGCAGCACGTGCTATGCCGCGCCCACCAACACAACTCAAGCCAATCAAAATAGTCACAACACAGACACGTAATCCAAAGGCGTAGCGCCACAGGCGTAGCGCCACTGACGTGAACGCTAGTGATCCCGGTCTCAC